AAAAAAAAGTATAAAGATACATCACATGCAATTTTACTAATAATATTAAAATATAATAATATTACGCACACTTTTTCTTTTAAAAACAAAAACATATCATTCTATTAAATCATAATTCTCTACCATAACAATAATCTAATGAGAAAAACACTATATTTTTTAATAAATATTAAAATCAAGTTGAATAAAGAAATTAAAAAAAACAGTAAACCTAAAAATATTGAAAATAAAAGATATATTAAGCCAATTTAAATTTAATTTAATTTAATTTAATTTAATTTAAAAAATATTAAAAAAGTAAGAACTGGTCATGATGCACGTTGGTACTCGTCTTCAATTATTCCTCACTGAAGATTCAAACAAAACTTTGGTAGCCATACAAATGTAACAAACTTTGTGGTGCTAAAAACGGTTGAAAAAACTTTGTGATTCTCATTTTCCATTCACTTTAAAATATCTTTATAGTGGTTTCTGACGAAATTAAATGCAATACGTTAAGCTTTTTCAATTTTAAAATATTCTGCATGACAAATAGCTTTCTGGAGTAAGAAACCCTTTCTTCTAACTTACACGTGCAACTTATGTTAAACGAGTCAAACCTTTAAAATTGTGGTATAATCCCTGAAAATAAGGAAAAATTAAATAAGTGTATTAAATTTTAAGAAGAAAAAAATGTTAGGATAAAAATGAAAAAAGTTTGTACATGTTTGACAATTATTACTATAAATTATTTATTTTAGCAAATAGTTATTGTATGCCTATTATTATTCTATAACGAGACCAACCAGACGACCGTAATGAGCGGGACGAAGTCAAGCAGTGATTGAACGTGATAGAAGTCCTCACACAAGACCGAACAACCATGAGTAAAACATCCGAGCTAAAGTCAATAATCAGATCTTTCTGCAAAGTTTAAGGTAAATGATAATTAGGGGCATTGGGTTGAAATTGGGTCATGATTAAGATTTCTAACTATAAATACAGGTCAAAGGTAAGAAGTATGTTTTTGCATTTATTGCACATTTATTACTGTTACATTAAAATTTCGTACATACAGTCGACTGACTTAAGTATCGAATAACCTTTAAAAGGTACACCTTCAAAAAATGGAACGAAGAAGAAAGTTAGAAGAGCAGTTACCGAATGACCTCCCAAAAGAAATTGTGAAGGTGTTAGTCACTCGACCTCACACCCAAAACAGTTACATTTTTTTAAAAAACATATTTATACTTGGTGTAGCATCTTTGAAACTATCCCAGCATTTATAGTTTGATTTTTTTTCTTATAAAAACTTCATTACATTTTCGTATTTTTATTGCTTGAAATAAAAATTAGTTTCTATTTGACATGTAAAATTGATAAAGGTATATGTTATTTATTCTTACCTAAGCATTTATTTGAAGAAG